TGGGTTTCACTCATTTCACTCATCTAGGATTTCAGCAGTGGTCTTCTAGAGAGCTAGTCCAGCAGTCAAACCACTATAACACACTGGCTTTCAGAATGCACTATATTCTATTTACATCAAATAGCATTACATATATTACTATAATAGGGCTTGTGCTAAAGCAGTGTTTTTCAGCCTTCATAATGCCGCGGCCCCTAAATACAGTTTCTTATGTTGTGGAGACCCACAAACATATTTTCGTTGCTACTTCATAACTGTAATTTTGCTACTGTTATGAATCATAATGTAAATATCTGATATGGAGGATATATTTTCATTCACTGGACCAAATTTGGCACAAATACCCAATACACCCAAATTTGAATACTGGTGGGGTTGGGGAGGGGGGTTGATTTTGTCATTTGGGAGTTATAGTTGCTGGGATTTATAGTTAACCTACAATCAAAGAGCATTCTGAACTCCACCAACGATGGAATTGAACCAAACTTGGCACACAGAACTCCTATGACCAACATAAAATACTGGAAGAGTTTGGTGGCCAATGAATTTTGGAGTTAGAGTTGTAGTTCACATACATCTAGAGAGCACTGTGGACTTAAACAATGATAGATCTGGACCAAACTTGGCACAAATACTTAGTATGCCCAAATGTGAACACTAGTGGAGTCTGGGGAAAACAGACCTTGACATTTGGAAGTTGTAGTTATTGGGATTTATAGTTCACCTACAATCAAAGAATATTTTGAACCCCACCAATGATAGGATTGGGCCAGACTTCCCACACAAAACCCCCATGGCTTGAAGGGACTCACTGGCGCAAGCCTCCCTCCAGGCTCGCACACTCTCCCTCCCCACTGTGAACCATGCTGCTATGCGCTGAGCACACCTGCTCTCCCCTCCCCACTTGAAAGTCTCAGAAACAGCCCTCCCCTTGGCTGAGAAGCCGACCAATCACAGCAGAGGAGGGCTTTTGGTGGAAGAATTTGCTGTTTCCGAAAAGGAAGAGGAGGACAGGCAGAGAGATCTTCAGCCTTCCCTGCCAAAGGGGTTCCTAAGACCATCAGAAATATATGGTGACCTCTCAGAAATTCCCTCGTGATCCCCCCCCCCGGGGTCCTGACCCCCAGGTTGAGAAACACTGCTCTAAGTAAATCTGTGCCAACAAGTATGCTTAAGCATACAGTAAATTGCAGACCTCATTATAAAATATATTGTCTTTCTTTCTTATCCTTCAGGAAGCCATTTCCAAAGATAATTATGAAGAAAACAACTTGTTGTCAGTTTTAGGGATAACACTTTTGGGATGCTCACCTGCAAATAAAGTGCTTCCTGTGTTGCGTCAGCTTGTTTGACTGCAGCATTCAGTGGTGGAAGAGCATTACATTTTCCTCCTGCTTTCTTCCCTGAAACAATCAGTGGAGGGAGGAAAATAGTACCGCTGCTTGCCACTTGGGTATGAGGGGCTGCATATTTGTTTGGGCCTCTGATTAGATGGGCTGGACCACTTGCTGCAGCTGATGAAGATGCTGGTGCATGCCTGGTTGACATTTTCACAGGTGGGAGATTCAGGGTGACAATTGTTGGCGGCTTCCCTGCCGGTCTTAGTGGGGGAAGACAAAAATCGGCCATGTCATATACATCTGTGTAGCTCGCCTAAGAATAAGATGGGGAAAATCTCAGTTTTTTTTTTAAACGGAACAGCAAATTGGAAATTATCGCCCTTTCCTTGAAAGAAATTACATTATTTACCATTGAAAATTCAGCAGAAAGGTTTGTTATGAGCTTAAACTTTTGACAGTTTTGGAATACCTTGAATGAAGTTGTTATTGCATGCCTTCAAATCATTTCTGACTTATGGCACTTTGCTCAGAGGAGCTTTGTCCTTGCATTCCTCTGAGATTGAGAGTGTCCAACTTGCCAAAGGTCATACAGTGGGTTTCCATGACCAAGTAGGGATTCAAACCCTGCTCTTTTGGCTCCTTGTCCAATGCAATATTCGATTGAGTGCAGCCACCCCATATTATTGTGTCCTAAGAATTGATTTAATCTTCCCCACCTCCCCCCCCCCCGAAAACTAAGAAAATTATCTTTACTATATTCGTTGAGATGAATTCCACCAGTTGATTATACATTGATGAAGAAATACTAGTTTTTATTTGTTCAAAACATTCAGGTAATCTATTAAATCAGATGATTGCAAGTTCTGATTTATGGGAGGAAAACCTGATGTACTTGAATGTATGGGTGGGACTCGCAGCTTCCTATATATCAAATTGAAGTTCCCAGCAGTTTTTATTATTGCCGAACCTGTCTAGGGTTGCTGCTAGCTAGAACTTGCAGTCCAGCAACGAGAGACACACTGTTCTGAAATTTCCTTTAATGAGTTCTTCACCACACCATTCTTATAAACTGTTTGTATCTTCATGCTTCTCTATCTTGCTATATTTTCTTATAGTTGATAGTTTTACAAGATGTTACTTTGCACAAATCTCAGCCCCCATGATTTTTCCAGAAATACTGTATATATTTGAGTATAAGCCAAGTTTTTAGCCCTTTTTAGGCTGAAAAAAACCCCTCAGCTTATACTTGAGTCAAAGTTAATTATTATTTTACTCTGTTATTATTATTATTATTATTATTATTATTATTATTATTACTATTCCCGATTTTTTAAATTATTATTATTATTATTACATTTGTTATTTTTCTCTATTAATTATTGTTATTATTACATTTATTATATTATTCTATATATTATTATTGGAAGGATACACACTAAGCAAATTTACATTGAAGAAGGTTAGAATAATGGTTTAATCAGGATTGGACAGTCTTATCTTAAATTACAGTTTTATATAAATATTCAAAAACATTTAACATACTGATGCCTCAATTAATGTAATTTTATTGGTATCTATTTTTAGGTGTTTCTACAGATATCTATAGCAAGGTAAAGGCTTCTTCTCCTTCTTTACCGGATTAGGTCCTTTCCCTCTACAAACAAGAAATGCAGAGGCAAGAAGTTTTTACTCTTTTATATTTTTACCCTTATTTTACTCTTATTTGGTTGCAGTTTTTAATCACTCACAAGGCATATTGGTTCTCTCTCTTTTAATTTGTAATGGGAAAAAGGAAGAGAGAACATCCTCCCCCAGGCAAACAGAATGGCAAAACAAGCAAATTGATAAAAAATGGAGAGGTTTCTCCAAGGGAGGATTCTATATTTGACATTTTTTGCAGAAATAAGTACGAGTTACTTCAAGACAATTCAGCCGATAGCTGCCTTGAGGTGTTAACTGAAGACAAGGGGAAAATAGATGCTGAAAGTAGCATTGTGATTAACCCCACGGAACATAAGAAATCTATATCTGTTTACGAACTGTTTGCTAAACAAATATTGTTAACTCTGGATACTCTAAACTTGATATGTTCCAAGCTAGAAAATATCCAAAAGAAACTAGAATGCACTGATTTTAATTCTCCCGAGTCTCTGAATCCCACAATTGGATTCAGCAAGTTTCTGAATCCCACAATTGGAATGGCAAAAAAGCAGCAAGAAGAAACAGATAAGACACAGCCTTTAATTAGGCAAAACCAATTATCTAGATGACACTCAATTGCAAACAAAAGAAGTGAAATAAGGATAACAGAACCTCGCCATTCTGAAACAAAACATCTTAAATTCAGTCCTTGTCAACTGGAATTTTGTATTTCACTGAACTCCATAAACTCGAACAAAAACCATGTACTCTACTCTCTAAGTCTTTGTTAAACACCCCAATAAGACAGATAAATCTCCATTCATTGATTTGACTCTCAAAAAGAAAGTTTCATAAAAGATTTATTGTAGCTTTAATCAGTCCTCTAATCCCACAGTTGTTACTTTCTATGCATTCACATTTGCATCATAAATTTGGAATTTTCATAAACAGAGTGTTTGAGGAGACTGAAACAAGGCTCTTATTGGAAATCATATACCAAAAAGTGGGCCAATTCCCATTATCACCAACTGCTCCTCCAAGTCCCAGATAAATTCCTCGGGGAAAATGTATCAGTCATATCCTCTTGAACACTTTAACTGGAAGAAACAGTCCTACAACATTAAAATTGGAATATTTGAATCAAATTCTGAGAGAGCTTTACCACCTGTTAGCAGAACAAAAATGATCTGGGATGAAGACGAACTTCCCCTTTTTAAAAACATTCCAATAACTAAACAAGGAAGAGCAAACAGTAATAATTGAATGCCTAGGTGACTTACTTAACACAATATCTATTTTTATTTTGAAATTTACCAGTAGCTGCTACATTTCCCACCCTTGGCTTATACTCAAGTCGATACATTTTCCCAGTTTTTTGTGGTAAATTCGGTGCCTTGGCATATATTCAGGTCAGCTTATGCTCGAGTATATATGGATAACTATGTTTTTACCAGTAATATTCCAAAATGTTCTGGCTCACAAAGTATATTCTGGATAGGGATTAGTAAGTGTAAATCATGAAGCCAGTCTATTGACAAAAACCTAGTTAGTGTTGAAAACTTGACTTGAGCTATCACAATCTGGTGAATTGTATGTGTTTTGGACTTTTTCTTGGATTAGCCTGAGCATCTATGGGATTGCTATTTACAAAGCTAAGTTGATATGCTCTGGGACAATTAAACCATGAGACAATACAGTCACAATTATAATGGCATGTTAGTGTTTGGGACCTTGGTTTTCCCACATAGACAAGTGATAATGCTCTGCTTTTCCCAGGAGAGCCTGTTTGTACAGGTGGAAAGTGTACTGCAAATATTGAAAGATGGAAAAGGGACAAAAGCTATTTGTTTCCTAAAGCCAGTTAAGATCCATACTGTGCTCATTCCTAAACATGGTCAATACATCAATTTTGCTTCCCTAAATTACAAGCTGGATGCAAACCACAGCCTGAGCCTCCCAGGCATGTTACTGTGGACAATTCTCCATTGGTATTGACAGCTGGTGCACTCAGAGCATGAAGAAGACAACCCAGTTCTCTTGCCACCCTGCAGGGTGTGTGACATTGGGGCATATCTGTAATGGAAAGGTTAGAAGCAAGTCACAATTTTTAAAATAGATTACTAGGGCTCAGTTTGGACATATATAGACAACACCGGGGTGACATCGGACAAGTTTTTTTGTTGGGTTGCTCACATGTGTGCTATAAGGTTTTCTCATTCAAAGGGCAGTTTTGAAACTTTAGCTGTGTTTCTTCATCACTGAGTGGTTCTCTAATTCAGCAGTGCTGTTTCACATACATATTTCCCGTCTGTACATGGACTATGAAGAGGACGATGATATCTCCTTTGCAAGATGGATGAGCAGTTTCTGGGGACACAATGTGTCGGACGAAAAAGAACAAGAGAGTAGAGCACACAGGAAACAGCAGGAGAGGAGAGCTTCCCTTCCGGTAAGACTGTGAGTAGAGGAACGCAAGGGAACATTTTTTTTAAAAAATGGACAGTGTGTGTGAGAAAGATGAGAACAAGTCATATAAATTATGACTTTTAACATCTAGCCACCTGATGAAGCGGAGCAGAGTCCATAAAAGCTTGTGCTGAAATTTATCGGTCCCAAAGGTGGTGCTATTTCCTATTTCCTTCTCTCCTTTCCTTATGTTGAAACAGAGAGCATTTCCATTGTGGAGAAAAATAAAACCTGTTGTGACATGCATAATGTCTATGACTTGAACTTTGGGAGGGGAGGCACATAGCAAAATGTATATATATTGTTGAAGGCTTTCATGGTCGGAATCACTGGGTTGTTGCAGATTTTTTGGGCTGTATAGCCATGTTCCAGAAGCATTATCTCCTGACATTTCACATGCATCTATGGCAGGCATCTTTAGAAGTTGTGAGGTCTGAAGATGCCCGCTATAGATGCAGACATCCCCAGGAGAGGAAGCGTGTAGAACATGGCCATACAGCCCAAAAACCTACAACAACCCAAAATGTATATCCTATGGATACCTCCCACTGAGGCTTTTACACTTCATTTCCATTGCCTTATTCATGAATCAGGTCTATGAAGGAAATAACGGAAAGGTTGTGTAATGTAATGACTATTGACTGTGAACAGTAGGAACTCTATGTCTCAAAACAGTCTAAACAAAGTGTCATCAAAGGGTTTCATGGCTGGAATCGCTGGGTTGCTGTGAGTTTTCCGAGCTGTATGGCTATATTCCAGAAGCATTCTCTCTTGATGTTTCGCCCACATATATTACAGGCATCCTCAGAGGTTCTGAGGTCTGACCTCACAAAATGTGGGAAGAGAATGCTTCTGGAACATGGCTATACAACCCGGAAAACTCACAACAATCCAGTATAAACAAATTCCACCACTGGTAGCAATATATAGTATGTTTGTTCATTTATTTAGGTAATTTCTATTTCGAAGGGAATAACAGAAAAGTTGTATAATGACTATTGACTGTGAACAGTAGGAACTCTATGTCTCAAAACAGTCTAAACAAAGTGTTGTCAAAGGCTTTCATGGCCAGAATCACTGGGTTATTGTGAGTTTTCCGGGCTGTATGGCCATGTTCCAGAAGCATTCTCTCCTGACGTTTCGCCAACGTCTATGGCAGGCATCCTCACAACCTCTGAGGATGCTGCTATAGATGTGGGCAAAACATCAGGAAAGAATGCCTCTGGAACATGGCCATACAGCTTAGACAACTCACAACAAACCAGTCTAAAATAACTCCACCACTTGTCGCAATATGTAGTATATTTATTTATTTATTTATTTATTTAGGTGATTTTTATCCCGCTTTTCCCCACTTAAGGGCCCAAGGTGGCTAAAAGCATTAATAAAATAAAACAATACAAACATTAAAAACAATACATGATAAAACCAAATATTCTACAGTGCTGAAGAATGTTAAAACCTGTATAATAAAATCAAACTATAAAATTCTAAAATCAAGGGTTCCTAGAAGCCATCCGGCTGCCAACATCAAATTACGACAGATCCAAGCAGCCAAAAGATTTCTTGAAAAATAATGTTTTAAGACTAGTATATACTCATGTTAAATCCTGAAATTTTAGTCCAAGACTTGATCCAAAAACCCTGGGTTGACCTATTCATTCATGGGTAAATATAAGTACTAAACCCTGACCCTTATCCTCTTCTTTGAGTAGAATGGCAAAAGGTAAAACATAGTTCTTCCTAGAACACAGTTCAGCCTATCTTTGTGACCGCATCTCCACCATGAACCGGCATGAGCTCTAAGATCTGCTGGGAAGGCTCTACTCTCCGTCCCACCTCTAAGTGCCAATTAGTAAAATGTTTTATTGATTTTAATTGGGATCTTTTTTATTTTTGTAATGTGCTGTTTTTATGTGAACTGATATTGTCATTGTCTAATATGTTAATGTGATTTTACCTGTGTTTTATATGATTATGGCACTTGTATGTGCTTCTGTAAACCACCCCAGGTCCTTTTTGGGAGATGGTGGTGGGGTATAAATAAAGTTTTATTATTATTATATTCATGGGAAAACCTAAAAGAAGCACTGACCCCTTGTATTTTCTTCCCTATGATGCCGTTTCTGTCCTTTTTGAATGCCTGAGCGAGGAAATGGCTGCAGTGGTATTGTTTTTCTTATTTTCATCCTTCACATCTTTTGTTGCATGCCCCTAAATTTAACCCACAACTTATCATATCAACATTCATAATTTTGGCCCCCTAACCTGCCCTTGACTTATACATGAGGTTGACTTATAAACAAGTATATATGGTAATAACCTTTCAGAATCATAATGAATAACTAATATAGTGCAGATCTCATATAGCTTCAGTATGACCGGTGTTCGGGATTAAAGGAAGACAATGCCTTTATCATTTTACAACCTTAAACATACCTTTGCACAGCAAAAGAAATATTGGGATGCTTTATTTATCTATGAAACTGAATTGTGGTAGGGCAAAGTTTAAGACAAGATTAACTATGAAGTGATATATATATCTGGCAAAGGGACATGGTTAATTGCTGAATTTTTAAGAGTTTATTTAATTTAAGATGTATTTATTTATAAAAGGGATGGGAGGTGATATATGGGATAGGGGATGGACACATTAGAAATTGCCCATCTCACACTGCAGATTCCACATTTCTTCAATGAGCATCTCTGTGATCAAATAATTTTGTTTTTTGCTGTGTGCTTCCAAGTCATTTTTTTTAACTTATGATGGCCGCCTCATGGTCATCATAAGTAAAAAAAAAATGACTACTACTAAATGATTAATGAAGGTTATAGTTAGAAGAAACAGTTTTGATCCTATCATAATTCTCAAATTCTGGGAGGCATAGCAACCCCGCATGTATAATTGTGTGCAAAATTATGGCCACTTCATAGTAATATTTTGAAAGAACAAATGTTGTGGAATGGAATAGATTTCAAAATCACCCTTAAAATGATGCAGAACTTTAAAAGGGCAACTATAGCAGAAAAAGAAGTTAAAAGTAGTGAGCTATTAGATTTTTTAAATGCACAAAAGTAAAGGTTTCCCTTTGACATTAAGTCTAGTCAAGTCTGACTCTGAGGAGTGGTGCTCATCTTCATTTCTAAGCCGAAGAATCGGTGTTGTCCGCAGATGCCTCCAAGGTTATGTGGCCGTCATGACCTCATGGAGCACCATTATCTTCCAGCCTAAGCTGTACCTATTGATCTACTCACATTTGCATGTTTTCGAACTGCTAGTTTGTCAGAAGCTAGGGCTAACAATGGGAGTTTACCTCGTTCTGTGGATTCAAACCTTCGACCTTCCAGTCAACAAGTTCTGCAATTTAGTGGTTTAACCTGCTGCGCCATTGCAGCCCACTTTTAAATGCATACCATAGCATTTAAATACAGTTGCAAAATCTATGGGCTTTATATTCATGTTGACTTATCATGAAACAATTGATTCGGTTGGCCAACTCAATTGAAATTATCAGCTGGGTTTACTCCATTTTATATAATGAGCTATTAAATGGCATTGAAAATAGTTACTTTAGAAATCCCAGTTGTCATATATAGCATTAGTTCTCATTATAACAAAGTAGCATAACTGCTCTGGGTAGGGTTGGATAAAAGGCAGCTTTCCAGATGTTGCTGGGCTCCCTCTCCTGGCATTTCTCACCATTTCCTGTGTATGTCTGCTGAGAATTCCTGCTGATTTCAATGGAACTTTCTCCCCAATAAGCAGTAGGATTAGTATTGCAGTCTTGAAGAAAAGAATGACGTTTGAAGCAACACAGAGGAGGGTGCTAGGGTGGTATAATTGGCCAAGATATAAAGATCTGATAAAAAAGGAAAGAGGAATGATAACACTAAAAACACAACAAGAAATGAATATAATAAATGAAAGGATTTCATGGTACCAACACAGACAAATAAAAGAATGTTTTCAGAAAGACAAAGAAAAGGGCTTCCAAGAACACATTCTGGGATATAATAATGAAATCAGAACACCAAATAATAACAAAATTATACAGGAAACGATTAGAATGGAATCAAAAAAGAACGGAAGAGGAAAAATATATAAAAAGATGGAAGGAAAATATTGGAAGAATAATAAAGAAAGAAGAATGGTAGGAAATTTGGAGAAGAAAAATGAAATATACATATGCAACAGAATTAAAGGAAAATTGGATTAAGATGTCACATCGTTGGTATATGACCCCACAAAAATTAGGAAAATGTTATAGAAACATAAATACGAAGTTTTAGAAGTGCGGGAAGATGGAGGGATCATATTTCCACATGTGATAGACATGTGAAAAATCAAAATATATTGGAAAAAGAATACAAACTATATTACAGGAAATCTTAAAGATCAAAATTCCCCTGAAACCAGAGATATTCCTGCTAGGTATCATAGACCAAGACTTGGATAAAAATACTGATAAACTTTTATTCCTTCTGAATACGGCAGCAAGAATTTGTTATGCTAAAGTTTGGGAAAAAGAAGAGATACCAGATGAGGATGACTGGATGAGGAAAATTGGAGACATAGGAAATATGGACAGATTGACATATCTAATAGCAAAAAACAAAGGTACCCCAATAAAAGAGACAGATTGGATGAAAGTGACAGAATACTTGAAACATAAGAATAGAAATACTGTAGTATAGAAAGAAGAGAGAGAGGGGAAAACATGATGGATAGAAAGACAAAAGAAGGAAAAGGAAGAACCCACATGGAAGATACCTAGGAAGTCAAGAATCCTGTATGTATATGCTGTATGTATGTGTGTGTATCCCCCCACCTTTTCTCCCTCCCTTTTTTTCTTTTTTTCCTTTTTTCTCTTTTTACTTTATTTTTTCTCTCCTTGTTTTTTTCTTTTCTATTCTCTCCCCCCCCCCAGTATTTCTTTTTTAATTATTGTTTACTTTCTTTCTTTTCCTTTATAATGTATATAATGATTTGTTTTTTAAGAAAATTTTTCAATAAAGATTATTAAAAATAAAAAAAGAATTATGTGACCATTTTTATTCTGAATTTATATATAGATTCAGGTATAGCTATAGATTTATTATTCTCTCTTTTAGAGAGAATAATGGAGCTGCTTTGAGTCTCCTTATGGAGAGAAAAAGGAGTATAAATCAACCTAGTAAACATAATAATAATAATAATAATAATAATAATAATAATAATAATAATAATAGGAGGAGGGGGGGGAGGAGAAACATGCTACTGGCAGATTATGTGAAAGACAGTCAAGAACCAACATTGATGGAAGTCAATAGTAGAAAACTGTTTAAAGTGCAAAAGACAAAGAGTAAATACCGTAAAAATACAATGCAGAGCAGAAGCGAAAACTGGCAAAAGAAGGCTCTCCATGGACACTTCCTGGGAAAAACCGAGAGCAAAATTGACAAGGAGAAAACATAGATGTGACTCACAAATGAAACTCTGAAAAAGGAGATGGAGGGCCTGATTCTTGCAGCTCAAGAACAAGCAATTAGAACACATACCATCAAAGCCAGAATTGAAAAGTTGACAACAGATCCCAAATGTAGACTCTGCAAGGAAGCAGATTAAACAATAGATCACATTCTCAGCTGCTGCAAGAAGATCACGCAGACAGACTACAAGCAGAGGCATAACACCATTGCTCAGATGATTCACTGGAACCTGTGCCACAAATAGCATCTGCCTGTGACAAAGAACTGGTGAAATCACAAGCCAGAAAAAGTTACTACTACTCTGGGACTTCCGAATTCAGATTGACAGAGTTTTGAAGCACAATACTCCCGACCTCACGATTGTGGAAAAAAACAAAGTTGGATCATCGATGTTGCAATCCCAGGCAACAGCAGAATGAATGAGAAGCAACTGGAAAAGCTTACACCAAAAGAGGATTTGAAGATCAAACTGCAAAGGCTCTGGAACAAGCCAGTAAAGGTGGTCCCATTGGTGATAGGAACACTGAGTGTAGTGCCTAAAGACCTTGGTCTGCACTTAAAAACAATTGACGCTGACAAAATTACCATCTGTCAGCTGCAAAGAGCTACTCTAATTGGATCTGTGAGCATTATTCGCCAATACATCACATAATCCTAGACATTTGGGAAGTGTACAACATGTGATCCAATACAACAGCCAGCAGAGTGATTTTGTTTGCTGTGTATTAATCTTGTTGTGTATCAAATAATAATAGAATAGAAATTATTAATAATAATAATAATAATAATAATAATAATAATAATAGAATCATTTTGCAGTCTAGCAGCATCCAGAGGAGCATACCTCTTATGTTGAGAGAATTTGAAAATTCCTTCGTCCTCTACAAGAAATGTTACAGCACAGCTGAAACACCTGATTAAAAATACATCACATTTGGGGACCTTTGTGAGAATTTTGTTTTGTAGGAAAACATTTTATATTTCATACAAAATACAGACATAATCATGTCTCTCCAACACTTGAAATGGATAAACACTCTCAGTCTCACCTGGTGGGCAATGAAATTCTTCATAATTTCATTCAAGAATGAAATTTAGCAAAGGTTTACATTATTATTCTGGATTTAGAAGTTTCATTTAACTGATAGTCATTCACAAACGCACTCTCCATGATTTGTCTAATGCCTTTTAAAGGTCACCCCATGGTAGTGAATAATGCTAAAAGCCTTTAATGGGATCAATAAAACAGCAAGCAGAAGACAAACATAAGCTTTTAAGACCTGGATTATAGTGTAATACGGGAGTGGACAAGGGTGACTCTCGGCATATCACTGGACTGCAGTTTCCATGATCCCTGATCATTGCCTAGATTGGGTAGCTGTAATCCAGTAGCATAGGGAGGGCAAGGTTGTCCATTCCTGCTCTAAAGACTAAATAAAAAATTTCTCCTAAATTAGTGTTTCTCGGGGTTCCTTACATGGGGGACTGGCAGATATTTGTTTTCTCCATTGCCAGGGATCAGCACTAAATTGGGTAGTTTCTTTCATTTCCCCTGGAAACATGCAGGGACCACCAACCAATGGCTCAGGAACTGTCACCAGACTAGGAACCACCACTTTGAATAGTGGCTGTCCTAGATTTATAGCTTTCACTTTCAATCCCCTACTTCCCATTCTTTTTATAGTCACAGATGATGTAATGTATAGCATTGTTCTACATGTGTGGTCTCATATTTATCATTATTCTCTTTTACAATCCTGAAAAGTCTATTTTTAAATTTGAATTAACTCTTATTTGATCTACTTGTTAAAGGAGAATGTCTTATGCTTTGCATCAGTTTCCAAAGGAAACTGTGCTGTATCAGATGGCTGTCAAATTATTGGCGGGCCCTTCAGGTTCCACACTTGTCCCATTTATTTTTTCCAACATGTGCATATTTCCAAGTAATTCTAATTTTGATTATACAGATTGAGATGTAGGAGTGTATAGTATTTTAGCAAGAGTGCATGTATTGTGCACAATATATTGTATATTTTACACAATATTACACAATATTGTACACAATATTACACACTATTGTACACAATATTACACAATATTTCACACAATATTACACAATATTGTACACATAGAAATACATACTTAAAGAAAATATTAATTTTAGACGCATACAGTTTTTTAAAAAGCATTATCGTTGGTGTTATCAGAACCAGAGTTTGGGAAGTTCCTTTTTCTGCTCTCTCTCTCTCTCTCTCTCTCCCCAAGCACTTCCTAGAATCCCTTTGCCAGTTTGTCCAGTAGGAACTCCTGAACGTCATTGCCAGAATCTATCAATACTATTAGTAGGGTTGCCATACTAAAACTGAATAGGGCTCAAGTACTTCTAATTGTGTGTAGAAGACAGAAATTCAGTAAGTGTTGCTTATCCAGTTTTCATCCTGGCAACCCAAAATCCTTAGTGGCAGAAAATAGAATCTTGCATAAGACAAACCAGCACCAGACCCAATGCTGACTAAATATGCCACTGGTCACACTCAGCTGAAATCGACACCTCCTCAGAAAGAAAGAATCTCCACTTTCATAAGTCTAGAAAAAGGCTAGTGAATGACTTGTGTTTGTGAAAAATACTCTTCTACATACATAAGAAATGGAAACATAAAATGGTGAATAAAACCTAAAATAAAAATAGTTACTAAAAACAATTCAATTCATTTTAAAACACTAATTTTAAAAGAAGAATGTATGTTAGGTTGTGTTCTGTATAAAAAGTAATACATTTTGACACAAGAGAAAGGATTATCAAAGTTGTTTTTGATCAGTGGTTCCCAGCCTGTGCTCCATGGACAGCCAATGGTCCGCAAGAATGAAAATATGGTCCGCGGCCTCACCATTACTACATCGTTGCCTTGAAACCTCATGGCAATGAGTGCAACTGGTCTTTTGAAACCCTCTTATAGTGCCGAGGCAACAGGGGTGTTGGGAAGGGAGAAGTTGACTACCCTTCTTTGGAGGCTTTTAAATAGAGGCTGGATGGACATCTGTCGGGGTGCTTTGAATGCGATTTTCCTGCTTCTTAGCCGGGGGTCCAACTCTAGGACCTATAATTCTATGAAAGAATACTACTACCACATCAGCTCTAGATTATTAAACATGGTTTTCTGTGGGCAAGCAGATGGCGACTACTGGATGGCATATGTTCTGTATCAGAAACTATTTTATTTATTTCATATCAAAAGCATTGCATAAATTAGTATAAAATTGATAAAAATAGAAGGAGCGCAGGTGGCTAAATATCTTCTGACCAAAAACAGGCAACAGCAATGGCATTGTCTGTAGCCTCCAACAATTCTCCCTCTGTACATGAGGCAGGGCATAGTGGACAAGCATACAGATGCAGAGTTGTCTGTTCTGCTCCACAGTCACACAAGGTGTGGGATTCTTTTAGGTAGTGCCATTTTTGTCTTTTGTTCTGTGCACGCCACTTCTGAGTCTGTTCAGGGACTTCCAAGTTGCCCATTCTTGGTTTGCCCCTGGAGGAAGACTCTCATGGGGGACCATCCAGTTGGGATTTCGTGGTCTAGCTGCCCAGAGGGATACCCTTGCTGTTGCTGGGGGGATGCCAAGAGGAGTGGTAGTTCTCATAAAGCTGTTCCTTGATTTGAGTCTGCTGGGAGGAGGCTGGTAGCCATGTAGTACATGGCTTTCACAGTGTTCAACCTTATTTCTCTCACATTTAGCAGCAACTTCCTGTCGCACATCGGGGGAGGGGGGGCAATGCCAGCTAGCTTGTAGAGTTTATCAACAGGTGTAGGTGTAGAAACTAGAGCTGATGTGGTCTATTCAATGCAAATTTCTGAATCAGCATCCCAAATAACCAAACTGAATCTAAAGTTGACCAAAACCTGATTCATAACCCTTTTGGTCCTAATGTTGGAGAGTGGCCCATGGTCAAAGTGGTCTCTGGTCAAGTGGTCCCTGGTCAAAAAAGGTTGTGAACCACTGTTATAGATAGATAGATAGATAGATAGATAGATAGATAGATAGATAGATAGATAGATAGATAGATAGAATTTTAGGGATTGCTTTACAAGATATAGTGCAAGCCAAATACCTAGATGATCTTGAAATACACACTTTGAAAAATAAAATATGACTTTACATCCCAGGTGGAACATGTCATAGAAAGCTGTGAATAATCATTTATATTGTAATAGATTTCAGTAGAAAAGGTATTTAAATTTTCCACTGAATGTATATTTTAATTTTTTCCCCACAGGCAAAACTTTCTGCCATCCACATGACAAAATTCCATGGTTCTGCCAAGATCCCATCTTCAGGCCATCTGAAGTGTGGCAGAGAATTGCGAAAAGACCAAGATACAAATTGCCACTGCCATACAAAAGCATGCAGAAAATCCTCAAGTGGCAGTACTCCACAGGTGGCAAGCGGACCAAACAGTAGATCGAACTCCATCCAGGAATTTTCAGAATCTTTTGAAAGGCAACTGCATTTCAAAAACAAACGCTCCGTTTCTTTGGTAGGTA